CTGTGCCACTGCACTTGCGAATCATCGACGCGATGCCACGTCATCGTGCTTTTGTCCCACACGAACCCGAAAGCCCGAAAGTGAGAGAGAGGAAATGGGGGGGGGAAACATTCACTGTTTAATTCGGCTGATATCCAGTCACCAAGCGATTAAGCCCTGCGAAGGTTATGATTGATCATCAGATTCTTTTACAACGTTCAAATGTCGCCATTGCACAATGGATATCTAAAGTCGGCTTCGAAATCGAACTCCGGAGGTGCCGAGTTTGACTCCCACGGCGGGCAGTCTTTGTCTTGACCTCGAATCCTGTTGAACGAGGAATTTATCACGCGTCGCTTCAGAACCGGCGTTGCCTGATCGGAATCGAGAGGTCCTGCGTTTGAGCCCCATTCAGGGCCGTTCGCCGTTCTTCCCTCTGACGTTGAGAAACGATGCAGTATCACTCTGATGAATATGATGGAAGGAAATAGGAGAACACAGACCATGCTGGTCTCATAGCTGCTGTCGATTCTGACTTTAAAAATAAGGCATTTCTGGACGATGACATGTAAACGGAAATCAATGCCTCCACAACTAGCTTCATGAAAGTAAGGGTGCTAGAACTGAACCCATCATGTAATGTTTCAACGCTTACATACTTTCGTTTTCTTCCCTCAACGTTGTTTCTACCAAAAATGTGGTCAGTTTATTGTAGGGTGACATGCAATGAAGACCATACGAATAACCATGCAGAGGCAGCCTGTCGATAAATTCAGACCGAGTTGGGAAAGTCACACCCGTCGATAAGTTAATTGATGGGCTCCGCAAATTGCAGAAGGCCGTCAACTTGCCGTCGGTCATCAGTCACTAGTGAAGTTGAAGAAATATTGGGGCACAGATTCAAGAAAATAGTTTATTGTGGATGACTATCACGATAGAGTCATTATTAATTATCTCCATAGTACGAGTGTGTTAGCGCATAACTAGATGAAATGGCATAGTAGTGCATTATTTTAGTATAATAAAAATTGTTTCCGTTATGAAAAGGTTTAATTTTTGCTTTTTTTAAATTTATCGTTGTTTGATTTGGATTGTTTTATTCAACCGATATTCAAAAATTAAAATTCTATGAAACAGACTGATAATGCCTAATCATCTGTCTCTAGTTAACAGTTTGGTAAAATACATAATAGAAGTGTTTGAAAATAGCATAGAGGATCTTTCAGGTTAAAGCAAATTTAGTTATACAAATTTAGTGTTAAAAAAATGTATTATGCTTAAGAGAGCTTTTTGTTGGTATGGGTCATGATGAAATTAGTCACAAAGGAAACTGCAATGGACTTCTGAAAGTTCCACCCCAAACTCAGACTGTTAATGTTAACGTGGAGTAATGCTGATTTGGTGACCTTGCGTAATAATCATAGTGAAATCGTCAGACGAAGGCGTGGACTCTCAGATTGATACTTATGACGAATGCTTCATTTCCTGCGCACAGAGATCTTTTGTCAGGTGCTGACGTGAGGGATCAAATCAAGTAACTGTTACAAATGGCCACCAGAAAATATATTAACCCCACCAAATAACCTGACCCCAGATCAAATAACAGCGTGCTGACCTAGCGACCTCATGCAGCCACCTCGATTGAGTCATCAAATGAAAATCATTGATATCGATTATTTGACAACCACTTCGTTTTATACTCGCATAAAAATTTCACTGATAGTTGATATGAGGAGCGAACTCAAATCACTGATAAAAATGACCATTGCTAAACACATGAATTCAAACTCCTGACTGTGCAGACTGCGCGCTGACCTACTGACATTGCACAGTCGTCGCAATGGAATTACAACAAGAAATTCAGCGGCATCGTACTTCTTTCACAAAGAACCCCCCCCCTCACTGATATATAACAAGATCGGCGGAATCACGTGATTTATGCAGCTGGCCACTGTCCAGTCACGCAGATTCAATGTAGTGACGGCTGGACTTAGCGTTGAAGCCAACCAACAGTTTTGC